GTCCTCCGCCGCGACCGGGTGCGCGCTGACCTCGGGGCGCGGCAGGAACCCGCGGCCGCCGCCGCCGTCGAGCTCGATCGTCGCGCCCGCGGCGTCGGAAGACAAGACAGTGCCCTCCACAATGCGGCCAGCCCGCGGCGCGCCGCCGCTGCCGACGGGCCGCCGCTCGCGCGGCGCGCCGGCGTCGTGGGCTGCCTTGGCGGCTGTCGGCTCCTCCTGCTCCCACTGCTGCTGCTGCTCCGGGTCCTGCCTCTCCTGCTGCTGCTGCTGCTGCTGCTGCTGCTGCCGCCGCTGCTCCCGCAGGTGGCATCTCAAGCCCCTTGCGATCTCCCGGTGCTGCTCGAACTGCAGCGCCTGCGCCCAATACAGACACAGGCGAGGGCAAAAATGTGTCGACAAAGGGGGGCATAGGGTGGGGGGCGGCAGCGAAAGAGCACCCCGTTTCAGCGGGCGAGCCGAGTGGGGCCGGCGGCGCGGCTGCCGCCAACCCTCAAACGCTGCCACAGCCCAGGATCCGCAAGACCACGGGCCGTTCTTCCTGGTCAACATAAAATCCCTGCGCTCCAACTGCATGCAGGCAGTGCATCAATTTCTCCCACAATCTGCAGCCTTGATGAATGAACAAGGTAACCCTTTATAGCTGTGGCGGTGTAAATGTTAGTGCGGTGACGCTCAAACCCCCCCCTGCCGCTCGTTAGGCAGGCGGACCAGCGGTTTCGAATCCCCGTCCGCCACCGCCGCCACAGTCAGCACGGGGTCGAGCACCCCCAGCACTGCGCCATACACCACCATGCGCCCCAGCTGCGGCGCGGTCGGCAGCAGCGCCAGCAGGCGGCCCAGGGGGGTCAGCGCCTGGCGCGAGTCCAGGGCGCCTAGGGACTGCAGGGAAAAACGGGGGGATTTGAGGTGGGTGGGTGTGGGGGGGGGGGGCGGCCGGATGCAAGGGGTCAGCTAGGCGCTTGGGCAATGATGTGAAAGGTCGAATCGCTCCCGGCCAGCACGCGTGTGCGCCGGAGGGGGTACAGCCTGGAGGGCCGAAAGCGTGCCAGGGATGACACTTCAACTAACACCGATCAATTGCTGCTACCATGCGTGATGAGACTGGTCAGTCAGCTGCCCCGCCGCCGACCCCGTCTGCTTGAATTGCGGACTGGCGTCGCGCCACGGCCCCCACCTCGAGCGTCGCGACCGCGGAGGCCACGAGGCGCGCGTCCGGCGGGCTGGGCGTGGCGGCCATGAAGGGGGCGATGCCGAAACCGAGGCTGCGCGCCAGCAGGCAGGACTCCTCCAGCGGCACGCGCTGAACCTCTGGAGCCTGCGGGCGCGGGATATGGGGGGAGGGGAGGGCGGGCAGGGAGGGGCCTGCATTTTGGGGGATGGCGTTTCGTGTGGGCGGGTCTGTTCTTGCAAGCTACCTCGAACAACTATCCCGCTCCAATGAACGGCGGCCTTGATGCCGCCAGCACCACTGCTCTTGCGCTCAATAAAGCGCCGCCCCCCGGACGCACGCGCACGCGCGTGTGCGCACATGCGCCCACGTGTGCGCGCGCGCGCGCACGCGCGCACACACACACACGCACACACACACATACACGCACACACACACACACACACACCACACACACGCGCGCGCATGCACAGACGCACGTGCGCGGGCGCACACACCTCGTAGTCTGGCAGGTGGCGCTCCGCCATGGCGCGCGGCAGGAGGTGGAACGACTTGCCCGGCCGCACGCGCCCCGCGCGGCCGCGGCGCTGCCAGAGGGCGGCCTTGCAGACCCACTGGGGACCCAGGGAGGGGATCGCGTTGACCGCGTCCTGCGTTGACAGGGATGAGAGTGTTTTGCATTGTCACAAGGCAATGGGCATGTGTGATGAGAAATTGCTCATGTTGTTGGGTTAATGGTCGGTCGTGGGATAGGGGAATATTATAGTAGTATTATGTGGCCGTCCGCGGCGAGGATGCATACTGTGCTTCCCTGACCAGGCAAGACCGAGCCCCTGCACTGCGCCGCAGGCTTGGACGCCTGCGCCGGCGTCCAGCCACGCAGCCTGGGTGCGTGCCGCGCCGCACAACCGCACGCAAGCGTACAACCAGCGTGCCGGCGCAGCGCTCACGTATGCGAGGCTGTTGTGTCTCCCGCCATCGATGACGAAGACGACGTCCTCAAACGTCAGCGAGCTCTCCGCGATGGTGGTGGCCAGGATCACCTTGCGCACGCCTGGTTTGGTTGTGAGGGGAGGGGGGGGGTTGGGGGGTGCGTGCGGGTGGGGTTGGCAGTGCTGGTGGTGGTCGTGCTGGTGGAGCTGGTGCCACTGGTGGTGGCGTTCAACTGCATTGAAGGGCGCGGTATCAACGGGAAGGCCCCACTGAGGTGCCATGTGCTGGGAGTTTGTTGGCAATGAGCAGCGGAATGATCAGGTCTTGCTGGCGTTTGTTTGTCGAGTGCGGCGCCCGCAATTGGCCACATGCCGTGGCCCTGGCTAGTGCGCTGCACAGCTGTGGACCCTCCAAGCCCACCAACAGCGGGGGCTCCGCCACAGAGCCCGCGGCCCCCAGCAGGGCGTGCTGCGTCCCCGCAAGGCGCTCTCGGCACCACTCGTCCAATGACTAAACCTGCTGACCTGGCGGCGCCGGCCTGAACGCCAGGTCTTGGTCTGTCTCAGCCAACACGCTGCGGAGACAGCGAGTGCGCCGTTTTTCAGGACAATCAATTTTGGTGGTGAAGGCGTTGACACAACACAGCTGCGGCTGCTGCGTGGGCAGCCAAAAACAATCTCGACTCCTGAGCCCTTGAGAGTGCAGAGAGTCCAACCAACCCAGCTCAGCTAGTCTTAGCACGCCTGCCCGCAACAGCGAATGGGGGGCTGGTATCAGGCGCGCACGGCTGCAAGGTGCTGGTTGCGGGGGACGCGATGACACCGCGCCGGCGACGGGCGGGTGGGCTCACCTGTGCAGGGGTACGGTCATGATGACGTCACCGAGGCCGTCCAGGGCCCTGAGGGCGTCCATGACGTCAGATATCATCTTGATGCCGGTGAGGAACACCAGGATGGCGCCTGGGTGGGTGAGGGTGACGAGATTGCATGAGGGGGGGAGGAGGGGCAGGCGTGACTGCGGAAGCAGACGCGGTACGGCGCGGCGGGCGGCCTGGGAGTCCTGCGCATGAGGATTGCAGGCGTCGTGCGCAGAGGGGCAGCGGGAATTGGTAAGTTCACGACAAGCACTGTGAACCCTGGCATTTGACCGACCGTGAACTCGGACGCAGACACTGCTGCATGATTCCTGCACCAAAAAACACAATCAAACAACAAGGTGATCATCACGCCAAAACCAAGCAACGGCAGCCGGCAGCACCCCCTGCTCACCCTTCTCCTCCTCGTGCCTGCACACGTACTCTATCGCCCCCACCACCGCCGCCACGTGCGCCTCCTCCCTGTCCTGCCACGCCCAGTGGCTGACGTCACCCGCCCATTTTTTGAGCAGCTCGGGGACCTCTGGGGGGTAGACGCCCTCGTATTCAAAGGGGTCAACCTGCAGACAGATGACAGTGAGGCTTCTGTTTTGAACCACAAGAATTGGTTTTAGTGGGATGCCGTGCCACCAGCTGTGCTTATGTCTACACCCTCCTTTCGTGGAAGAAGGGTCCTTGTGATTGACGTCACCCCCGAATCCGTTGTGTACCTTGATCAACGAGGCCTGGGAAAAACCTCAGGGTCAGCAGTCAAAGCAAGTCCTACCTCAAAACCGAGCATGATGTCGTCCCCCTGCCGGGGGCGGGCCTTGTCGGCGAAGCGGCTGCGGACGTGGCTTGCCAGCGCCACGGAGCGGGCTGCGTGAGGGACCAGGGCGATGGGGAGTGACGTCACAAGTTATTGCAAGCGCATGACTGCCCACCTCAAGTGGCGCGTTGCAGGGGTTTCCAAGTAAGGCGCTGCAGGCACAGTCTGCACACATGCAGAATCTGGACTGGGCGCAAAAGGGACGCGCCACTCTGAGGGGGCACGCGTGGGTTTTCAAAGGGGGTTGAGTCAGCGCGCGAGTCAGCGTGTCCTTACTCACGCCTCTGGCCGGCTGCGAGCTGCAGTGCGAAGAGGTCCTCCAGGAAGAACTGCTGCACCTCAAAGGTCCGCCCCTCGATGTGCACCCACTGCACACCACCTGCGCGGGGTAGGGAAGGGGAAGTTGCTTGCGGGTGCGTTTGCCAGGCGGTTTCTGGGGAGGAAGGTGCTGGTGGCAATGGAACTGCATTGGCTTTGCACGGAGGAGGAAGGCGAAGCCCCATTTTGTGGGATGTGCAATGCGTGACGCGTCAAGGATACACGGCCCGCCTGATGCTGGACTGCAGACGGCGCGCGCAGAGGAGCCGGCCACGACGCGCGCTAGTCGGCTGAGTAGCGAGTGCATGGCTTGGTGTATCTGACTCACGGCGCAATTGACGCAGAGGGTATGTGTAAAAGTGCGCATGTGTGTGCGCGTGCGTGCGCGCTTGCGTGGGACGGGGGGTAAGGGGGAATGGCCTGATCACCTGCGTCCTTGAAGTATTCATCGTACTGGTCCGGGCTGGCCGTGGCACTCATCAGCACCAGCCGCAGGTCGCGCCGCCGCAGCAGCAGCCGCCGCAGCGCGGTCAGCAAAAAGTCAACCTGCGGCCCGGGGGTGACGGGGCTGATGAGTCACCGCCGCCGGGTGGCGGGCGCTTGGGTGGAGGGGGCGACGAGGGCCAGTTGTGTGCATGCCGCCCAGCGCATTACAAACGGGGCTGTTTGCTGTAGAAAACTAAGTCGTAACAACATCATCTGCTTGTTAGGGCGGGGGTAGGCCTCAGATGTCAGGCAACGCCGTCACCCTGCTGATCTTCCATTAATTAACTCCCTATCTCACCCATAACTAGTATACCGGCTGGCTGGGTAGCCAGCCGCGCCACCGCAGCCATTACGCCTGCCATTCAAGTCATCAGCCT